TCTGTTTCTACAACCTTTTAAGTAGTTGGGATTAGCAAAATTAATACAAGGTAAATTTTTAACATGTCGTTTAATAATCTGTACGGCTTTTGTACATTCGCTTATTATACGTCCATACGTATAATGTTCAAAGCTTAATTGCCCATTGTTATTTCTCAATTTATCTTTAACTTTAGTAGCAAAGGTAGCAGGTAGTCCTTCTAAATTTTTTTCTTTCTAGTAACTTGAACTAGCATCAGAAATATTCATTACTCTAGTTATAAATACATCTTTATACCATCGAAAATGAGATAAAGAAGGACATTTTAATTTTTGTAATAGAGAACGTATTTGTTCTCGATTGTCAATCATGTATCCTTAAAAATGTTGTAAGATATTATGAATAAGGGTATAAACTGCTTCATCATTTGGCTTGCATATCATTTCTTTCTGCTTGATTTAAATAGTTATCTCACCATCCTTTAAGGATTCCGGTGAAACCATTGACTATAATTTGGACGACTTCCCATGGATTATTATTTTTACTTTGTGCTACAGTTGCATATATTAACATTTGATGAACAGTTTTATGAATTTGATAATCCGATAGACCGTCAAAATTCCATTCGTATAATTGTCTAGGATCATACGAAATTTGTTCATTTAATTCTTCTTCATAAAGAAGATCATTAGGTGATGGTCTTTGATAATAATATTTACTTAATGATTTTTTAGGGTATTTGATTCTATTTAATGATAATGGTATTTCTAAATGATAATTAAGAGTTGTTGATTTAAATTGATCCTCTAATTGATCAATGTCATAGTCGCTGGAGGACTGTTCTTCTGTTTCACGATCTTATACTTTTTCATCTAAAGTAGTTATTTTTTGTGATTTAATTTGTTTTATTACTTCGGACATATTGAGGTCTTCATCTAATTTTATTTTAATTGGTGGTGGAAGCTTTATAGCTGGTCTAGTAATGATCATTTTTGAATTTGAGTTTTCAATTTTTGCCTGTTCTGTTGTATCTTTGAATAGATCAATTCTTTTATCACTATTTTTAGATTATTCTATTGTATCCTTTAATAGATCTAGTTTTTTATTAAGGATGTCTAAATACGAAGTTATAGTTTGTATTGTATGATTATTGAAATTAAGCTGTTTAATTACTATAGCTAATTCTCTTATGACATGTTGATCTGAAGGAATATTTCCAAATTGACTCATTAAAATATTTGATTTTGAAGATTGTCCTTAAAGTATTCTAATATTAGAAGTTAGTTTTGTTATAAACCAATATACAAATGGAACGGTAGCTTTTCCATTTTGATTTAGATTTTCAATTTCAACAAAATATTGATCAGAAAATTTTATTCGTTCTTCTTCTGAGAACATGTTTCTGTACCAGATACGAAATGGTTTGAATTTGGGTAACATATAGTGACAGATAACCGTCTCTCTAAGGGCTGTATTAAGTCTGTAATTCATTGAAATTGCATTTCTGAGGGAGTCGGGGATCTAAATTCTTGACTGTCCCTAACTGGATGAAATATTCTATTTCTATTAAATGTTAATCCTGGAGTAGAGGCTATATCAGTTTCATCTGAATTAGCTATTTTAATTTCGTCTCCTGACGTTGAAGGAATAGAGATTCTAGGAAGATTTATAGATCTTCTTGGATTAAATCGTACTTCTACATCTCCATCAGATGTTTGGAATATTTGATCTATATCTTGATTGATAATAGGTTTGGATGTAATTACTTGAGGCAAGATCCATTGATCTGGGAATGTTACTTCATTCCATTTAATTACTCGGTTTGTTGCTATGTTTGAGGCTAGTAGATTTATTTCTATTAGAGTAGTTCGGCTATTGGGTTGAACTATCTTTTTAACTTTTGGACTTAAGGTATTCATTACCTTAAAATGGATTCTAAAAATTAATGCTATTGTTTCAGATCGAGGGAGAAAATTGTACCCATGAAGCTGAAGATGTAATTTAATTGCTTCAAAGAGATGTACATCAGTTAATGTTAAACTAAGATTTGGAAAAGTATTAAAGTAATCCGGTCCATGACAAAGACTTGTTTCCATTACTCCCATATGTGATTGTGCCCAATTAATGCATCTGCCATCTCTTAGACGGGCTAAGATGGATGCATTTAGTCCTCTTAAGGTTAATGGTTTGAAAGCTATTTGGATTAAACCAATATGCAAGTATTTATAATCTTGCATGTAAGATCTGAGATCGTCATAAGATAACAGAGAAATGGTTTTCTCTGTTGAATCGATTGTAATAGATTGTTCTACCATTTTGATGGTAGTTTTTTCGTTGAAATCAAAGGTTCCGATTTGATAAATTAAGGTTTTATCTACCTTAGGTAGAGACCATTTATTTAGATCTTCTTCATTGAGAGGATATTCTATCAATTCAGCATTTTTAATATCGCGAAAGGAGGGTATTTTACCCTTATTAAGGATAGATGAAGAAGATGAAGATGCCATCTTTTTAATACTCGATTGGTAAGATTATGTTTCAACATATTAATAGAGGAGGCATGTTTGAAATGGTTCAATGAGGAAAGAAATTTACACTATTCATCTAATTACATAAAAATATGAACTATCACGGACTAACAACCCAAAGTCAAGGGATTTACTGTCAAAGTTCAATACTATTAAGCAAAAAAGACTGAAGTGTAAGGGACTTTACATACACAAACTCATAATGTCCTGCCGCCCCGATTAAAGAGTTGAAAAATAAACTTACCAACCTGAGTAACACTACTCACACATGGCTCTGATACCAAATTAAGTAATAGATTGTTCCTCTGCTAAATTCATTTTACAAAAGGATGTTCAAAATCTTGCTTCAAAACAAATATTTGCCACCTGGCAAGCTCAACTTGCGATTTTTTATTTTACCATTGAATACATTAAAGGTAAAGATAATTCTTTACCCGATTTTCTAACTCGAGAATATCTTACAGGAACACCCACTCAGCATGGACAGTGAAGGGTGGCGCACCCCTAACGGGCCCTCCATGCCACCCGTCCCTAATCGAGGACGAGGCTGGCCCACTCTACGTGGTAATCCCCGTGGAAGAGGACGTGGCCAAAACGGCCGCGGTAGAGGAGAATTTCTTCCTCCAAAAATGATTCCTCTTAAAACTTACCTATATGGGGCAACTGAGCCCACACAGTCAAAGAAACAGTCAGAGAAAATTCCAGAAAAAACTCAATCAACTACTCAGCAAACTTCAGATATGTTCGAACCAATATTCAAACTGAGTGTTGAACATTTATTATATCTAAATAGTGAAGATAACGATATAACTTCACCTTGGATCATCTTTAAAAAATATCTAAACACCAATCCCCTTCTCCAAGACTCTAATTATGATAGAGAAACATATGAATTTATCCTTATTTATCTTCAATGCATCAAAGTTAAACTTCACTATGATGATAAACGCAATATTACCTACAACCGAGCAAATATCCTCACTCTAATTCACCCAAAAGATTGGGGAATCACTCCATTTCAAATTCAAAAATTTGATATTTCACTTCCTGATGGAAATTTAAAAACATGCTCTTTCAATTATTGGACCTATGTGCAAGCTATGCACAAAGTTTTTTATGTTCTAAATCCCACTCATTCTCATTCATGGATGTTCATCCTCAATCCTGAGATCCTTGAAAATCCAATTCCTTTATGGTTTTATAAATGGTGGGAAACTAAAGGAGCCATTATCTCTATTCTTCCACCCGAATTACAACAAAGTTAAAACAATTGGGTAGATTCTTCTCCTCATCTTCAAATTATTAAAACCGAAGATTTTATTGATGGAATGAGTGAATTCCTCTTTTTTTCCCAATCTCAAATTCCTTGGATTTGGTCCTGGAATGTTGAAATAAATACCGATTCTTTAAATCTAAAAATTCTTATGCATAATTTTTCAGTAAAATGGTTGTCTGCCATTATCGTTGACGATAAAAGAAACAAATTGATAAGGTTATTCAAAATAACCTTATTAAAAATCAACGACAACCTATGAATGCAGAATTCTCTTTAAAAAATTTGCAAAAAACCCTTAAACAAAGATACCCTCATGAGTCTCCAGACCAAATTAAGGTACGGTTACAAAAAGCTTATTGGGACCATATGAATCAACTATTCCCTGATGATGAAGATATGACATCCCAACATTCGAACGACACTATTCCTGACACATGGGATAAGCATGAAGAAGCAGGACCCAGTCACCATCCTGGCAAAGCTCCTTTAACCAAAGACCCAGATGACTTTTTAGAATAAAGACTCTTAATGGAAACAATAATAGAGTCTTTATTACGTGGCATATTTATAAGTATAATATTTAATATATATTTTAAAAATAATAAACTTTTTCAGAATAAAAAACTTATAATTTATTAATGTAAAAAAGAGCAATCGTATATTTCTCTTATATTTTATAGTAATTAGAAAAAATATGCAAAACTATAAAACAAAAATATAATTCCTAATTAATTGCATCATTTGGGGTGTGGAGCACATTTCGGAATAGTTAATGCATAAAGTTTAGTTATTTTAGAATAGTTAATGAACAATAAATTTAATTTATTAAATAAATAAATATAAATCAATTTAATAAATTGAATTAGATTTGCACTCATTAAATATATTAAAATAAATCTTTAATAGCTATAATGATATGTAATAATTATTTTAATTCAGATATATTTAATTTAACTTTAATGATTATTACAATTAGTTTAATGTAAATCTACCTACTAACTATTAATCTCAAAAGATTAACTATTAATTAACATAAAAGTAAGTCCTCATTAACTACTTGCCACTTAATTAGTATGATAAAGATTATCTTAAGACAATAAATAGAGCATGTAGCATTCCCTTAACATTTCTGATCACTCATTTTGTATATCTTTGCCGAATAAAAAATATTTAATTATTTAATTTCTTTATCTTCCTCCCAGCACCTACCACCAAGCAATTATTTGCCAAACAGCTATCTTGGCCACGCGTCGCGCAATTCATAACCACGCATGACCAAACACTTCGAGAAGCCTCGTCAATGGCAACCCCAATCAATATTCGGAACCAGATAATCAAAATTTGACTTTGAAGCCATGTTCCATGTCTCCATGTCTCCACGAAATTGGTTGCTTCTTACCTTCTTTGTTGACTGAAATCACAGCCACCGTATATACATATATATAGAAACCTTAGGCCAATATATCTCCACCAAACTTCTAGAGAGAAAATACAGATCTATGGAGGCTTTCCCGGTCCAGTTCTGCAGAGCAGTGCGATCTTACTGGCGCCGTCGACGATATGAGCGTCTGGAAGCAGGTAAGAGGAGGAAGGTAAAGGTGGCCAAGCTCGGCGGAGGTCACCGGGTCTCAGCCGGCTCCGGTCTCAGCCGGTCCTTCAGGCTACGCCGGGTCTTTGGGATTCGGTCGAAGATGCTTTCGCCGGTACGGCTCCTGGCCCGGCTCAGAGATGCATATGTGGATTCCATGCTCGGGCTAGCCGGTAAAGGATCGGGTCTGTCGGGCGGGATGGGGGGAGAGGTTTTAATAAACCGGCGGATCCCTAAGGCCCATCCGGTTAAGTTGGAAACGGGCGATTTTGAGCGGCGACTGATTCTGGAGATCTGCCGGTCTATTCGCGCTTCCGGCGAGATTGCTGTCTATTAGCCGGTGAAATTTTCGGCCTGAATTCAGTAGGATTCTTTCAAGCCGATCCTGCTCTTCTAAAAAATTATAATGGTACCCTTCTCTCATGTTTGGCCAATTTCATTTCTTCTTGTTAATGGCGTCGAGTTCCGAGATCTCCGCACTTGTATATTGTATATTGTGTATTGACCTTGTACCCTGGAGTTTCCTTATTTGGGTAGGCAAATTTTTTGCGTCCAGTGCCCACATTCATCCGGACACCAATTCAGTGTCGCCACATCACTAAAATGCATCGGGACCCGAATGTATTTGGGTGACGCCACCAGATTAGATGTCCGGACATCCGGTGACCGGACGCAATAATTCACCCTTCGGGTAGGAGTGTAAGCCATAGTTCGGCTTTGTGTTGCTTTTGTTGGGGCAAAAATGTAATTTTATTTGCCTTGTACTTAAGTTTGAGAAATTTGACTTTAATAAACAGAAATCGTCCAAAAATGCTCTTTCTTTTTTGGAAAATTTTGGGGCAATAGCCCATGTATTAATCTAAAAGGGAGTTACAAGTAAAAGCAAAAGAAAAACATGTAAAAACAAAAGAAGAACAAACAAAACCTGCAAACCCCAAGGAAAACAAAAATGGGGAAGAGATCAAAAACAGGACTCACGAAACCGAGCAAAACACAAGAGCTCAGAAGCATAGCTTCGGACAATAGCAACACAACTAACCCGCGGTTGCCACAAGCCTGCCAAGACTAATACTAGTAAGCACAGGGCCATCCCACAAGGAAAGCAAATCAAGAAAACTGGTGACAAACACCCAAAAAACGGCCTGGTTCATCATCGTCCAGTGGGCAAAACACAAAAAACTAGCATATGCAGGAAGCACCCACATCAGGGGAGAGCTTATCATTTTTTTTTTTTGGAATCTTTAATCTTTAATCTTTTTTTTTTCTTTTATCTTTATCTTTAATCTTCTTTTCTTTAATTTTTTTTAAATCTTTTTTCTTTAACTTCTTTCTTTTTTTTTTTAAAGATGTTAAAGAAAAAGCTTAGCATCTTTAAGCTTATCATAATATTTCAATCTTCTCACCTTGAATCTAACAATCGTCTTAATAGTGTGGATGACAAAGAAAGGACTGACCCAAATATTGGAGAAACGATGATTGTTTCTTTCCCTCTATAAATGATAAACAGTGCAACTAATCAAAAGGAAACAAAAGTTTTTCTCCAAAGAGTAGTAATGGACTCTATAATTCAAAAAATAAAAAGCTTGCATAATGTTTGGCCAGAGGTAGAAAGAGCTAAAGGCATAAAAGAGAAATCATATTCAAAAAACTGGTGATGGCGAGTTTCCAGTGAGCTGTGACAGAAGGAATGAGAAGGAGAAACCGAAATACCTTTCCTAATGAGTAAATCCGCACACTAATTTTTTAACAATTGCCATCCAAGAGTAACAAGCAAATTTAAGAGATCCCTTTTTGCGCCAAATATACTTAAACTAGTAGACTTTCTCTAGATTCAAGTGAAAAAGATCAGTGAGTTGCTTAAAAGTGGGATGCGTAGAGCCTTTCAAAGCCAAAGCCGGTTGCTCCAAGATTTTGACATTGTGGATAGCCACTCGTAAGCTTTTAGGAAAATTAGCCGGGATAACCCACTGCCCATTAGAAATTGAATCATCCACCGATATTTGAGATAAGCCATTCCAAGTAGTAATATCAGATTAAGAACATCGATTACACACAGGGTCCCAAAGCATGGAAAATTTGCACATAGAAGCAACAGAGAGCTGAATAGAAGATTTAATATTATGAGCAGTGGAGCATAAAAATTTCCAGGTCTTGGAGGCATGAGACTGGGGAGTCTTCGAAGGGGACTAAAAAATGCTCCATATTTATTAGAGATTTATTTAAGAAATATACTTGAAAGTTTATTTCATATAAAAATATAATTTTTATCTACTGCGATCTAAGAGCACACGTGATTGGGCTAAGGTAAATTTTTTGTCTCCACCTCCGACGAACGGTTCAAGGTTAGGTATGTTATGTATTGGATTATATAGATTTGTATATGTCATTCTTACTCCAAGCCTAGAATGACCACAAACATCATATTTTTAATGCAAATATTTTAAATAATAATTGAATATTGAGCTAATTTTTGAATTAGGTTCGAATAAGATCCGAATAATATTCGAATATGGTTTAAAAATGAGAAACTATTAAATCCAAAATTCATAAGACTCAAACCCTATCCGTAGAAACCTCCTCATCCCCTACCCAACAAAATAAAGAGTTGTATGATTTTATATTTGTTGAATTTGTTTTATTGTTATAAACAAAAGCTCCATGAGGAAGAGGATAAGACTACCATGATAAGAGTTATTCATAATAAATCCATCATGGAAGGGGCTGAGAATATGACGCATGTAACCATTTAAAGAGTTAAAAACGAAACTAAGAAATATGAGAAAATCACATGCTAGTAGGTCTCTCTCATCAGCAAAATTATTATGTGCGGTCACCGGATGTCATCTAGAGGCCAATAAGATCGTGCCAAGTCACCAATATTTTATGTATAAATATTATGTATCGTTGTGTATTGGGTGACATAACACATCCTAATTAACCTCGGGACGGTCTGAAGGACGCATCTAATAATCTCTCCACTCACTAAGAATGCTAAAAATGCATAAGATAGGAGTATCTATGAGGATGGGCTCTCAACCACAATAAAGTTTCCCAAAAATGTAGACATACTAATAAGATTTTTTCACAGTATGGATCTAACTATACGAACCTTGTTCGTACATCCCTTCCAGAGTACGAAACGGACGGGTCCTTGTTCGATCCAAAATAAAATTTTTTAAGTATGAATTGTACTGTACGAACCTAATTCGTACATGTCTTCCAAAGTACCAAATGGATGGGTCCTTGTTCGCTCAAATATAAATTTTTCTAAGTATGGATACTACTATAAGAACCCAGTTCGTATAAACCTTCCATAGTACGAAATTGTGAGGTCCCTTTTCGTCCTGACATTTTCGTTCAGACAAATTTGAAATTTTTTATTACTGATTGTACCAGACGATGACATCAATGTACATACGCCATCTAGAGTATGAAATATTGGGGTTCCTTTTCATACCGATGAACTCGAAAAATTATCTTACTATTCATCCCGGACGAACATGGTTCGTACCGGACAATGATCGGGTACGAAATGATTTTATATTAATTCATAAAAGGTTCGTATGCAACAGTATTTGAACTATTCATACGTATGAAATACGATCATACTGTACGATCGTGTGTGCTCAAAATTAAAAATCAGTTTTCTGAACTGTTTTTTTGTATCTTTTGTATAAAAGGTCCACTAAAAATTGACATGAAAAAGTCTTGTCTTTGTGATTTTTCAATGGCAATTGAAAGAGAGAGTGTGAGAGAGTATTTAAGAGAGATTTCTTGCAAGTGGAGTGTAAAGGGTTCACAAGGTTACTCAAAGATAATAATATCTTTATAATTATTGTTATCACTCTTCCTTTTATCTTTCTAGATTGCTCGTGAGAAGATCTTTGGAGAAAGGTCCGATACTCTGCCGACACTTGGAGGGTGTGAAAGGACGAATGTTCTCTACCTACACTTGGAGAGTGTGAAAGGATGAAGGTTCTCTGCCTACACTTGGAGAGTATGAAAGGACAAAGGTTCTCTGCCCACACTTAGAGGATGTGAAAGGACGACGGTTCTCTACTGATACTTGAAGAGTGTTAAAGGACAACGGTTCTCTACCACACAGGGGATTGGTGGAAGAGATGTTTTTGTAAAGGATTCTCCGCCTTGTTATGAGGGCAAAAGAAGAGTCACTTTGGTAATAGTGAAATACCTGAAGATGGAGTCTTCAGGGAGTGGATGTAGGTTGTATTTGATCGAACCACTATAAATTTCTATATCTTTTATTTCCCACATTTTATTTACTGCAAGTTATTTTCTGTGATTGAAAAGTTTTATTTTGAAACTTTAATTAACTTGCTTTATGAATCAATCAGCTTTTGAATTTTAAATCTAAGAGAATTTTTAAATTAACAATTCACCCCCCTCTTTGTTAGCCTTGGGACATTAGTTTAGGTTTAACAACCTAATCTAGATTTAACAAGAATCAAAATTGACCAATAAACTACACTTTGCTCAACCTAGTTTGATCTCGAGTTGACCAAGGGTCAAAATGACCAAAATACCCTTTAAGAAAGATTTTGGATTCTCACCCAAAATTTAACATAGCTCAACCTTATTAACCTTTGAAACATATCCCAATGAATCATAAATATCATTAGGGACACATTGCACTCAAACCCACCCTTTGGTTTGACCTAGTTGACCAAGTTAACCATTATTGACCAAAATGCCTCTTAAGGATTCAAGTGTCAATTTCAAACCAAATTAACTCCTCTTTATTTGAAACCACTTCCATTGAGTTCATATGAACAACTTGAACTCAAAGGACCTAACCCTTGACCCTGGGTCAAACTTGGTGAATCACATTAAATGTCACTTAGAAGCAAACTAATATAAATTGTCAATCATGTCGAATCAAATTTAAATGAATATGAGTATACAAATTACACTAGTACAATAAAAATCTTTAACTTTGATGGAATATATACTAACTCTACTAATATGAGGAGAACTCGGCTTTCATATGTAAAAGTTGGAGTCATCTTGATATTCCTCAACCAATCCTCGATTGATTGTTTGAAGTTCCTCTCAGCTAATGCATGTGTTTTTTATGTCTGGCCATTCTTTTTTCCATACAAGATACCTTTGATTATTGTGGCTTATGGTGATAATTATCTTGTCATCTAGGACATGTTTAATCTATTCACTCTCTTTACCATGTTGGGTTAGTGGATCTCACCCTCAAGGAGTGGGGATAAAGGATCATAGGGCTCATTGGGTATCATAAATGGTTCTTTTTATACTATAAAGTTTGAGATGTTAAAAGTATTACTGATACCATATTCGTTAGGTAGATCCAATACATAAATATTTAATTAAATATTTTTTAAGATTTGAAATGGGTTAGCACCCATAGCATGTAACTTTTGAATGGTTCTAATTAGAAATCTTTCAAGCCTCACATAGTTCATGACATATTCCTCTTTTAAAAATTCTATATTTTTTTGTAAACATCAAATTTTCTTTTATACATTTAATTTATTTGATTTTATTTTCTCTTTAGTATTCTTATGCATGTCATGGATATGCTATGTAAATGCTTAAGAAAAAATTAAGGTTTATGTATGCAAATGAATATGTTGTAAATCTACTAAACTATGGGGTCTATAAGTATGACATGACTCAAATAGACTAGCTCTTATTGACCTATTTATCAATCTATTATATACATATTCAACTCTTATGAAAAGAAAATCCAAGCATTTGGTAATTTCACCTATAAGGCATCAATTCAAGTTTTAAATAGACTCACTCCTAATAATAATCCTA